CTTACACTTTTGTCAATTTGGTCTTAATCTCCGATTCTTTAAGTACGTTCTTTTAATTTTCTCTTCCAATCAGCATCACACTCAATTTAATTTGATTTTTTTCATTTTTGTTCTATCAGAAATTGCGACAATCTATATTATAAATGCCGGCCTGCAAGCATCTTGCCTTTCTCGCCACTGTTTTGGCCATTTATGTAATGGAAATGCTTCCTTTTACAAGAAAAACAATAATATCTTGTTGCATCGCATATTTATAGGATTTCAAAATTTATAAATATTATTGCTGTTGACTTAGTACCTCGTGTTAAACGAGAAATTATTAGATGAATCAAGTCCATCACGTCATTCGTGATTCTGATCAATAAAATTTTGACAAGTCAGATTTTTTCCTAAAATTTCTAAATGTCCTAAATTTAAGAACTTACCCTCTAAATCTCATCTGATAAAACTAAGGTCTAAACCTGATGCTAAATTTGTGTCTAAATTTTAAGAAGAAATCTGACTTGTTACAATTTTATTAGTCGAGACCATGGATGACGTGGTGAACCCGGTCCATCTAATGATTTCTCGCGTTAAACATACCAAAATTAAGAGAAATTATTAGGTGGACTGGGTCCACCACATCATCCGTGGTCTCGACCAATAGGATTTTGACAAGTCAGATTTCTTCCTAAAATTTAGGCACAAATTTAGCATCAGGTTTAGTCCCTAGTTTCACTAGATGAGATTTACAGGTAAGCCCTTAAATTTAGGATATTAATTGGTTAGGGTTTTAGAAATTGTAGGAGAAACTCTGATTTATCAAAATCTTATTGGTCGAGACCACGGATGACGTGGTAGATCCGATCCACCTAATAATCTCTCAAATCAACATGATTCTCATGAGAAATTATTAGGTGGACCATGTCATCTGTGGTTCACCCAATAATATCGCGCCAAATAGTCTATCAATGCCACATTAGTTAGATGCCATATCATATTTTCCCTTATTATTGATTAATTTCACCTAATTAACTTTTACAATTTTAACGTGTGAGTAATTAGCGTTACCTTCTTCCTCAGCTCTTCGTCTCTAAACTCTTCCCAAGAGTTTTATTGGTTACATTTTAGTAATTAGCCAATTTAGTTACATTTTGATAGTTGGAAACTACAATTATACAATGTCAAGGTTATTTATAAGCTCTTGTAGAAAATATGGGGGGAAATTGGAAATAAAAAAGCATTAAGAAATTTTTGTTGCTAAGGGTATGATTTTTTTTTTCCATCTGATATCACCAATAAATCAGCTGCATATGTAAGGTCTCAAACTTAAAACTTATTTAAATTGGAAGAATAGGTCGCTTACACTTGATCCAACCTCAAATTGATTAGGTATTTAGGTGTATATGATTTGCTTAAAGGTTTATGATGGTTCGGATTTAGATAAAAATGGATTCGGTTTTGTTCCATGTGGGTATCGCTTTGGGCTATACAATTTCTTCTTGGGTCAGATAAAAGTCCAAAGCCAATTAGATTCCATTAATTGCAATTGTCGGCCTTTAGCTCTTCAATGTTGCTACCACCAAAACTTGAGCAAAATCATCAATTAATTTTACACCGTGCCTTAACAGTGAGGTCCTGGTTTCAAGTCTCATGGGATGTAATGGGTTCAAGTCTCACGGAATGTAAGTTTAGTTTATTTATTTGTTTATTTATTTGGTAGTTTAGTAATTAGGTTATTTAAGATAATTTCTTAGTTTGGGTTGGATTCTCATTTAAATGTTTGGATATATGAAGATTTATTCTGATGATATTGTAATGAGATTTCACCTATACCACTAAAAAAAAAAGAATGAGTCTACAGCTAACTTTTGGGATTGGGGAATTTATAATATTAATCTTAATTATTCATTGAAAGCTTAAATTATTGAAGACAAAATAACATCGTATATCACATAATCCGAATTCACCAACATAGCAGCATAGAACATTGTTCAAAAGTGCTTGAGTGTAACATTAATGCGAAGAAGCATGTACGAGGTAGGCTCGTAGAAGGAAATAGGCTCCATTGTAAAATAACCGTTGGTATATCGGAATTTCCCCGTTCCCGAAGTCACACTGTATTCCATGACGCCGCCAAATTGGTCTACAGTACCTTGTATCTGGAGGGTGCTGCCATTATAGGCCTCATTGGTGAAGACAAGTGAACAAAACATACTAAGATAGTTGCCATTGAAACTTGTCGGAACATATATGCCTTGGAGGCGTCCCACTGTTGCCGATGTGGGTTCTGGACCTTCTGTTACGAGGTCATTGAAAACACAAAGAGTTCCAAATTTGGTGAAATTCCAATACTTACCGGGAAAGCCTACCACGGCGAAATCGGTGGCGTTGGGAGTATATTGGACGGAAAAGTAGTCGTGGAAGTAGGCTGAGATTTTGGTTTCTTTAACTTCATAAACATCTGCTTTGGCTACTGGGATTGAGAACATTGCCATGAATATGCCTACAACAACTAGCAATACCAAGGAAAATTTGATGTTAATCGCCATATGATGAAATCAAAATCAAAACCCAAGATAATGTAATTTATGCTAGTGATTTGTGTGGAACTATAATGTCAAATATCACATATATAGGAAATGTTGCCAAAGTCGATGCTCGGGCAAACTAAATATTACCAATAATGGTAATAAAAAGAAACTTTAGGCTTTTGTTTTTTTGTTTTTTTTTTTCTGATCAGCATGCCATGTTGGGTCATGTTGTAACACAAATATATTTTCATGTCTTGTTTTTTCATGCATGTCAGTCATGATGTAGATGTAGATATAAAGTGAATGAATGAATCAATCATATATATGTGGTAAAAACTAACTTTCATAAATTATAGGTGGTATAAAACTTTCATGTCTGTCAAGACAGTTTAGAATTTTTTTTTAAAGTTATTTGCATTATCATACACCACACTACTTTGCTACACTATCTATATCCAACAGTTATTATTCAAATCAAGCCCATATCCAACGATTATAAATGGTAGTGTACATGAGTAGTACGATTAGGAGTAGTACGCATAGCTTTATCCTTTTTTTAAAAAAAATAAATTTGGTGATGTGGGATGCCCATTCTCATTTGACAATGTAACTTTAATTTGTGGCTTGCCTTGACCATGAGGCAAGAAAAAATCTGCTGATTAAAATCTTTTTGGAACATCATAATTACAACTTTTGCTTACATACTGAATCCATTAACACAACAAAAAAATATATATAAGTTCTTTTTATAATTAGTATAGATAGTGTTTGTTATCTTCATGGGGTAAAGATATATTGAATAAGAAAAACATTAATTAGAAGTATAAGGAAACAGAGCAATGCAATCCAGATACCACAGGAGGAAAGTAGTATTCAAATTACAAAGATTTGCATTTTTTTGGGTGATATATTCTTAATTTGCATTTGCATGCCTCAAACTGTATATGGATTATGATACAATTAAAGTTATAAAAAACTTGATGAAGGATATATTTGATGCATCGATCCTAAGGTGGTTTCTACTCAAAATAACAGAATTAAGAATCTTCATAGCTCTTAATGAAAATTTTTGAGGCATGAAGTCTGCTTGCTTCATGAGGAAATTATACATCCCACTGATTGTATATATAACTTTAAGCAAGCAAGAATAGTCAAAATTACAGCTTAATTCTCAGTAAAATGCAACATTCTGAAACTGCTTTGCGTGATTAATTTGTTTATGTTTACATTTCAACATTTGTACTGCACTTCTGCGTACAATTATTGCCTTTAGGTAACCTGTCTTGTCACTTCGTAAAAGCAGTAGATATTTTCGGTATGACCACCAAGAAAACAGTGATATTAATCATTTGTTCATTTCACAAGGCATTACAAAAAAAAAAATGAAAGAAAAAAGAGGTTTTAACTTTTAAGTACAAGTCTGCATTAATTTTCTTATTAAAAATGTGCTTCACGTTAAGCACACCCAATGGCCAATAGCCCAAATGTCAATAAGTACTCAAGAGAAACAAAGATGTGGAAAGGAACATTAACTAAACCCAAGAAGCACAGAACATCCAATCCAATAGCATAAAATAAGTGCATCAATGGGGCCGGGAACGTACGTACAAAGCAGTGGAGGATGAGCTTCTTGTGGCCATGGGACTTCTTTGTTGCTTCACAGAATCCACTTTCAACCAATAGAGGATTAGGAAGAGAGGCCAACGTACGTACAATTAATAGGTCGATTGAGGGGAATCACATGGTTTTTGAGTATTACAATGTGTATAATGGATCATTTTTTTTTTTGGTTAAATGTATAAGGCAAATTATACAATACATCGGCGGTGGAGTTTAGCAGACTACACAAGCGGGTCCTGAAAGGTGACATGTGTCCTCTAGGGACTAGATTGAAATATTTAAAACTTAATTAATTAAAAAAATGGACATGTGTCAACTCCACAACCCGCTTATGGAGTCCAAAATTTACACCGCCGGTGTATCAAATAATTACCCAATGTATAATAGATCATTTATCTGGTCATGGTGGATGCCAAATTAAGTTGATCCTGGCTTTGCAAGAAACTGATGTTTAAGATACATTAATCAAAGGAAGCTTAAATATTTGCAACGTAGTCATTGACATAATCCAACTGAAGCTTTGAAATGATTTTGAATTAATTGATTGACCAAAATATATACTATAGACTAGTGTGCCATCTATAGAATGCCTGGTTGCTATTGTCACCATTTTTATCATCAATTTCAACATTAAAAGAAAGCATTGATTTCTAACATTTCTGCAAGCAATTCCTTAAGTATTTAATTAAATGATATATTTTTCTGGGGGAGCACTTTTTTTACCTTAAATTTGCATGTCTCCAAATAACTAAAAAATATATTCTTGTATCCAAACACCTAAATATCCCTTATATTTGTACCAAGTACTATTCTTGAGTGCAAATTATGAGTACTTGTAGTCTCTTCCCCTTTTTCTTTTGGTATTTGAGGTTGCTAGGGATCGAACCCTAGTCACTGGAACTAAAAGTCCAGTACTCTACCATCAGGCCAAATGACCGATAGCCAATTAAATGAGATTTGATCCTCCTAAAATTAACAAGGAGGAAAGAAAAATTAGAAAAGGATTTTAAAATTAGTGCAGCAACGCAAATGTTGATATAATAAATAAATTGTTCAAAACAAATTAGAATTTCCACCCGGTAAGGGTGAGAACACAAAGTTCGATCCCCCAGAAGCACATTTTTTGGGAGAGTTTTAACTTTCATACTTCTAGCCCGAAATGGATTAGTGACTTGGGATACCCTCGGTTAAAACCAAGATAAGTAAATTTTTCAAAAGAAAGGCTTAATAGACATTTTGCTAGACCTGCTCAAGGGCCCGGGTACCTGACCAGACCCGAAAGCCCGCCCAAAAAATGAGAGGGTTTGGACAATAGTTTAAGATCCGAAAGTTGGATTTTGGACAAAGGAAGGGCCTATTTTGCAAAATTAGCCGGGCCTGTTTTTCTTTCCAAAAACCCGAACCCGGCCCGACCCGTATTAGTATATAATATATATATATATATATATTATAATGCATATCTTTATTATTATTTTTAAATATATACTATGTAATATATAACATTACAATATATAATATTGTATCATATAAATTATATTTATAAAAAATATGGCTAAAAAAATAATCATGTTGATTTTTATTAAAAAAAATTGAACAAAATGTAATTAAAAGTTTTATTTTTATTTTAAAAAATATAAAACGGGCGAGTCTGGACGAGTCTTGGATATGAATTCTTAAATGTGGGCGGGTTTTGGTCAAATGACCAAGCCCGAATAGTCGAAGCAGGCCGGGTCCAGGCCCGCACATTTTCTATTATTATATAGTGAAAACCCAGCCCGGTCCATGAGCAGGTCTACATTTTGCCTCTGCAGTAGTTGTAAGAAAGTAACAAATTAGCCTTTCATCATTTTCCAAAAATGTCAATTGCACGTCTGAATTTGTAAAGAGGGACAAATCAATCCTTTTGGATGAAAGTTGGTTAAATTTCGTTTTATAATTAAACAAAAATTAGTCGTTTTTTTGACCGAAATTGGTATGCTTCGGATAAGTTTCATTCAATATTTATGGTCCAACTGTAGTAGAACATTATTAATCTTTATTAGAATATTAATCTTATTCAAAGTTTAAGATTGAAATTAAAGACATGATAGCATCATAACATACAATCCGAATTCACCAACACAGTAAAAAGGGAACATATTAGAACATCGTTTAATAGTGCTTGACTGTAACATTAATGCGAAGAAGCGCGTAAGAGGTAGGCTCGTAGAAGGAAAGAGTCTCCAAGGTACAATAACCGTTGGTGAATCGGAATTTTCCGGTTCCCGAAGTCACACTGAATTCCATGACACTAGCGAATTGGTCGATAGTACCTTGTATCTGAATTGTGCTGCCATTATAGGCCTTGTTGGTGAAGACAAGTGAATAAAACATACTAAGATAGTTGCCATCGAAACTTGTAGTAGCATACATTCCTTGGAGACGTCCCACTGTTGCTGATGTGGGTTTTGGACCTTCGGTTACGAGGTCATCGAAAACAAGAAGAGTTCCAAATTTGGTGAAGTTCCAATTCTTACCCGGAAAGCCTACCACGGCGAAGTCGGTGGCGTTGGGAGTGTATTGGACGGAAAAGTAGTCGTGGATGTAGGCAGAGATTTTGGTTTCTTTCACTCCATCTGCTTTGGCTGTTGGGATTGACAACATTGCCATGGATATGCCTGCAACAACTAGCAAGGAAAAGGAAAATTTGATGTTAATTTCCATATGATGAAATCAAAATCAAAACCCAAGATACTTATTCTAATCAATGTTTTTGCTTCGAAGGTTAATGTTATGCTAGTGATTTGTGTGGAACTATAATGTCAAATATATAGCACATATTATATATTGGAAATGTTGCCTAAGTCGATTCTTCGGACAAACAAGATATTAAATGGTAAAAGGCTAATAATTTCGTTATTTCTTTTTCGCAGCCTGACATGTTTTTCATTGTTTTTTTTCTCTATAATGACTAGACAGGTCATTTTCATAATGCCAATCATGTTGTATACGTAATTCAAATTTTATATATCATGTGTGCTTTTTCAAAGCATGTCGGCCGGTCATGTAGATAGTGAATTAATCAATTATGTGTTATAAACTTTCATATTATAAATAATTAACAAGTAGTTTACTTAGGAAAACCATTCAATTTAGTGTAGAAAACCATTCAATCCGAAAATCACATGCGCCAGAGACTGAAGGAATATAATCAAATAATCCAAAAATCATATACCAACATAAGACTAAGGAAAAGTAAGCAAATAATCCAAAAATCATATAGTTGGTAAGACTAAATAGCCCGAAAATCATATGGCATCACAGGACTAGAGGAATATTCGAAAATCACATGGCATCACAAAGATTAAAGGAAAAATAGCAAACAATTGGACAACCACATGAAACTAAGATTAAAGGAAAAATCCATAGTTATTAAACCCGGCCCGGAGAGCGACCCGCTCGAGGCTTCGGGTCATGGGTCAATCAGTTTAACCGCCGGGTCAATTGGGTCAATGTGGGTTAATAAATAATATTTTTTAAATATTTTTATAATTTTTATATTTATTATTTCTATAACTAAAATTATTAAATCTAATTTATAATATTCTTACATAATGATATAAAATAATGATATAAATGGAAATAATTATATTTTAGCATATAAAACTATAAAAAATGAATTTATTTCCATTAATTATCAATTATCCAACCATGAGCCATGTTAATTTAAATAAATAAAGTAGGATAGATGTAAAAAATTTCATTAAGAATATAATACTTATTAAATTTTATTATTTTTTAATTTATTTTTAAGGTTTATTATATAATTTACAATATTTCCCTTAATATATATATTAAAAAAAATGAAAAAAATGGATTTAAATGTAAATTTTAATGAAATACATTAATCAACCGGGTCATTTGAAACCCGGCCGGGTCATCGGGTTAATCCGGGTTTCAACGGGTTGTTTCCTTAAACGGTCCAAATGTTAACCCGGACCAGTTCCAACTCCGGATCAACGGGTCGAACAGTCCGACCACCAGGCCAGGCCGGGTTTAATAACTATGGAAAAATCCGAAACAACATGAGCCAAAATTAAATTAAAGCAATAATAAGACAAGACTAAACTAAATAGCAATAATTCGGCTTCATAGATCCGCGTAGCATAACAACAAGAAAGAAAGAAAAACTAAATAACAATGAAGAAAAGAATAAAAACAAGAGGAGAAGAACCACGTTGGACATAGCATGAAAAAAGGAATGATGAAGCTCCATAACAATTAAAATTAGGAGCACCTAAGGAGAAATTTTACCAACTGATGATATGAATATTCCAAATCTAAGCCAACTTGAATCCACAATGCTCCACCTCTTGAATTGCTTGGCCCCTTCTACAGGTAATTAAGAGACCAATTTGTCATAGGAAACTAATTCTTATACATTAAACCATAATTTGAAAGTTAATTATTGGGCTTAAAACCAAGACCAAGCTTAGACCTTGGGCCAAACAAAATTATAGTGTCTACAATGTGTAATCAAATTTACCTTAATGTTATGTATTGTTTGTTCAACACAGTGATTTCTTCTTGGTATGAGACTAGACTAAATGCCCAAATACCCTCCTAAAGTTGCACGAAAAGAACAAATATTTCCCTAAACTTTTTTTTTTTGCCTTTTTGCCCCTTAACGTTACAAAACTAGGACAAATACCCCATCGTTACATTTTCCATTAAGTATGGACAGAACCGTTAATACTTAACGGAAAACTGTAACGATTTCGTTAAGCCACATCAGCATTTGAGAGGGAGACTTAATAGTTCCGTCTATACCAAGGATATTTGTCCTGATTTTGTAACGTTAGGGGGCAAAAGGGCAAAAAAAAATAGAGAGATATTTATCCTTTTCGTACAACTTAAGGTGGCTATTTGGGCATTTACTCTACGAGACTATGAGTACTAAGACCTTAGACCTGGCGTTATTTGCAACAGTGCATCAAACGAATGAACGATGAGGCATCTATCTTGGCCTCTTGGGTTTAATAATCTGTATGAGCTTAATCCTAATTCCTACTTCCTAGTTGGTATTCAAAGGACCAAATCCTAGTTGGTATTCGGATTTAGGTGGATTTAGGATTTTAGGTAAATAATGGGTTCGGTTTATTCCAAAGGACCAAATCCTAGTTGGTATTGTTTCGAGTTATGCAATTTCAATTTCGGGTTCAGATTGAAGGCCCAAGTCCAATGAGATTCCATTAACAGAAAAGAGACCCAATAGCTCATAATTGGGTAGATATATCCCCTTCAATTGCCATTGTAGGCTGCAGCCCAGCCCTAACTGCCCAGGTTCTGATTTTTTTTTTTTTTAAATCATCAAATAGGTCTTCCAATTTCCAAATTGTATTGGGGAATGATTTGAGTATTACTAAACTTCCCATTTCTAGGAGTGTATTATCAGTTTAAAAATAACATATTAGTTGTTGAATATTGATAGTACTCTAAGTAGTGGGAAGTGTAATAATACTTGTAATCTCTCTCGTATTGTATTTTTTTAACAATTTAAGAGTGAAATTATAAAAGACAGCATCAAAAGTTTGAAAAGAAAATTTCAACAAGTGTAAATTTTATTTTTATTATTTGTACAGGTGGAATTTTCCAACAAATGTAAAGTCTCAACACTAAGGGACAATATAAAGTCTCTAGCAACTTAAATTCAGACAATTCACAATATTCATTTTTCTTATAACCATCACTACCGTTCACCAGCGACTGTTAGATTATAAACATAAACAAACATCTTCACGGTAAGAGCATAGCCTTAACTCTTTATTCCTTACTTTTGCTACCAATAAACATTCAGTACTTTTTCTAAAAAAATTAATTGAGCAAAATCATCAATTATTTCAAAACACATACTTCTTCCATCCCATATTATCTGTCCCTTTTTGAGATTTTTTCTTG